AGCAAGTCCAGTTGCCTATGATGTAGCATTTAAGATTATCATGACCTGGATAACTGAGAATCTTCACTGACACTTCGAATGAGCTGTTAATATTTATGTAGGGAGCAAGTTCTTGTCCAAGAAGTTCGACATGTTGCACCACCATGTTTCTGCAGTAGCTCAGAATGGACAAACCAAACACAGGCTCTAATTAGGGACATTTGCATTTTTGCATCAGCTACTGTAGTTCGCAGCATCTTAGCGATGATTTTGTATTCGAAACTCCTATTTTCAGTGTTTAAATCATTAGGTCTGTGTTTTGGAGAGGAACAGGCCTCTGCATATAATTTAGCTCCTGGTATAACCCTCCTGAACGTCTGATTTTACGTTATCAGAGAAGAAAGGTGACCACCAAATACCAAGGCTAATGGTCTGTCTCCAACAAGCCAAACAGCATTGCAGAAAGAATGATTCGTACCATGAAATCTGCTTTATTCAGTGTTTCTGCTGGTTTTATTCACCTAGTCTGTTTGTTTTGGAGAGGAAGAGACCTCTGCGGATAATCTGGCTCCTGGTAAAAACCTCCTGAACAAAGAACACTGAAGAAACTCTAACCTGTAGAAGTTTCAGCTGGTTGCAATCTGCAGTCGTCACTGCCAGATGCCACTAAATCCTCCTTAATCTTACACACTGTTCCTTTAACTTGGGTGCAATTCATACATGATCTGTTATTTCTTCCTCTGTGATGCCGTAACAAATTAAGTGACACATAAAGAACACTTTATTCATTTATTTAAATAACCAAAATGTCCTTTTAATCATGGAGTTCCTTTTCAATGTACACAGTCTGTCTGTAATTGTTGCTGAATCCTCTGAAAGTTTGTAGGCTGGTTGTTGATGTTTAGTACTTATGACCTTTGAACCTGTGACACAGAGCACTTACCTGAAAAGACAATGACAATGTATTATGTACAAACATTATGATGCTGTATGGCGAGCAGCATTAAATGATTTGCAGATGAGATGATTAACACTGCAAAGATATGAGGCTTGTTCCAGTGTGTTGCAGACAAGCTGATGACGGCTGCGGCTGAAACGCACTTGTACTGCTGTGTTTTAATAATAAATGAAGACATGTTAGATCATTAACACGGACTGATGGTGACTTCTTTTCATTCAGAATCTGTTGATTTTCTTCTTATGGACTGTTCGTGGTGTTCCCTGCTCTCTGCAGGGTCGCTGTACCTGTGTCATAACGAAAACCCCCGTCTTTTAAAATGAGTCACATCATCTGAAGAGGTGTCTGATCAACCTGTGCCGGTGAACCTCCGATGTTTGTGCTTTGGCAGATTTGTCGCCCACATGATGATGATGATGATGACTCATACATTGTAATATCCATCCCGGCAGCTGTCGCTCTCGCATATCTCTCCTGCAGTGACGACTCAGACATCCCCGGCCAGTTGTGATTGGGTTTATTCAGCTCTGTGTACTTTAGAGAGCAGCTGCTAGCAGAGGTAGTCATGGCTGCTCTTGAACATCAGCTTGTTTGCGGGGCTGCTGCACCCTGCACGTACGTGTGTGTGTGTGTGCAGTTTATTGGTGTCACTCAGGTGGACAGGTCACGCACCTTGGGGAAGACACACATGACTGGTATTTAGACGAAACCCGCCGATCGAGTGTCAACATAAAATTCTGCAGCCTGTTACTATGGCAACAGGAAGTCTCAGTGGTAGTGGCCTGCAGTTCTCTCTCGCTCTCTCTCTCTCTCTCTCACACACATGTACAGAGCAGCACCAACTCGCCCACTCATAACCAGTCACACAATGAGCTTCGCTGAGACAGTTAAAGACGCAGCCATGAACAGCAGAGATGCTGCGTCTGCTGCATCACTGCTTCAGTATCGATTCGAGTGACTGATGAGTGATATGGCAACAGTTAAGGGTTATTTTAATTACTGATTGTCACTTATTTTTTGTTTAATTAATTCATAATTCAGTCAATATAAAGTCAGAAAAGTGACAAGATCCAGAACCAGCAGTGAGATTTCTCTTTTGTTTTGTCTTAAGAAGAGTCACACTCTTTAATAAAGGCAAAAAATGCCCAAAATTACAGCCACACCATCAGCCCTGTGAGGATGCACCTAGGCAGAGATGTTTCCTCTTAGCTTTAGTGCTGTTTATCAATCTAGATTGTTTTGGTGTGAGTTTCTAAGTGGTGAGATATCAATCGTAGAGATGTCTGCCTTCTCGCACATACAATGGAAGCAGATGACACTTAGCTTTTACTGCTCAAAGTGCCAAAGAAAAAACATACATTTGAAAAACCTCAACAGCAATGTTTCTTTCCAGAAATCATGACCTGGTTGCTTAAGAGTATCCATAGACATTGTTGTCAGCAGGTTTATAGGAACTATTTCCTGTCTACCGAACTACACCTGCCAACCGTAATAGTGTGCATCTACTGCTAGCTCACTTACTGTAGCACCACTGAGCTAGTTAACGTTACAGCTCAGCCATCTCACGCCGTCACAAGCGCAAGCCTCTCATCCATGAGTAGATGCACACTTCCTTCTGCACTGTGATGTGGTGCGTGTGTAGTTCGGTAGAAAGAAAATAGTTCCTACGTAAAACTTTTGACAACAAGGTGTGTGGATTATCTTGAGTAACCGGGTCATGATCTCTGGAAAGAGACATTGTTGTTGAGTTCATCAAATGTGTGTTTTTGGTGCTTTGTACACCACAAGCTGAGTGCCACTGAGTTCCATTACAATAGAGAGAGAGCAGACATCTCTACGGGTGATATCTCCACCACTTGGCAACCCACACCAAAACAATCTTGACTGATAACTATCAATACAGGTAAGAGGAAAGATATGTAATTTTGATTTATAACTGTCCCTTTAAGCTAAATGCTAACATGGTCACAGTGATGAATGATAATATGCTGATGTTTAGCAGGTGTAAAGTTTACCATGTTCAGCATCTTAGTTTAGCATGTTAGCTTGCTAATTAGCACTAAACACAAAGTACAACTGACACTTATGGGGATGTTAGTTTTTGCAAAGTTTTGGTTATATTTGATTTACTAAAAGGACAGGACAAATTGAACTACTGCTGGCTCTAGAGGAAAAGTCAGGAGATCATTAAAGTCATTAGGATTCATCCTCTGGAGAACACGAGTGTCTGTACAAAGTTTAATGGCAAATAGTTGTTGATATATTGAAGTCTGGAGCAGTGGCCCAACTGACACTGACCTCCCTAGAGCCAAGTCCTAACAGTGACGAGATCCAGAACCTAGAGCAATATTAATCTTTTGTTTTGTCCAAACTGTTGACATCTTCACATTTGAGAAGCCGGATACAGATTATTTTTTTGCCTAAAAAGTGACTCAGACTGATTAATTCAAAATAGTTGATTAGTCGACTGACAAAAAAAATGTATCTACAGCCAAGTGTTTCAGCTCCAACGTTCAGTTCACAGTATCAAAAGGTGAGAAGCCTCTCAAATTAAAAGAAGCTGGAACCAGAAATTGTTTTTAAAATTAATTGTCAACTATTTTGATAATTGATCGGTTGTTTTAAGTCATTATAAAAAGCAAAAATGCCAAAAATTCTGTGGCTCTGGCTTATCAGTTATGAAAATCTGCTGCCTTTCTCTTTTGTACATCATTGTAAATTAAGTATTTTTGAATTCTGCTCTGTTGGTCGGACAAAAGAAGCCATTTCAGACAATACTCCACATAATGCATTTTTTCATAGTTATTACATTTTATAAACAATTAAATGATTAATTAATAAAAAAAAAATCAAGATTTCTACTGCAAACTGTTAAGTGACATGGCAAATCATCCTTATGGTTAAAATCAAACCATGTAACTCTTTGAAACTCTTGTAACCTTTTTCTCTCACCTTTTTATTTATTCATTTTTTTTAACTTTTCTTGGTGTCGCTGCAACATGGGGTAGAGAATGGTTGCAGAGGGTCAGATGGGCAGGGAAAGCCATGCACAACAGTATAATGAACCTTCATCTGTCTATTTTTGTGAAACCCACAGCAGCCACAGGCTCTATTCCAGCCTGCAGTCCTTTGCATGCTCTCTCTGTCGCCCTTTCGCGCCAAGATTGTCCTGTCTAATGAAGGCAAAAAGCCAAAAAAATAAACCAAACAATTAATTAGTAGTTAAAATAATAGTTAGCTGTAGTCCTACGACACTTAATTTTCCATCAACTGACTTAATTGGTCAATTAACTGATAATTTCAGCCCTAAATTGGTTCTTACTCTGCATATTGATTAATCCTCCACCCTGATGTACCTGCGCCAACCAGCTGATCTCCGAGGGTGAAACAGACAATTAAAGAGTCTCATTGGCTGAGACAGACGACCAGCCCTCTTGTGTAATTAAAACAATTAACTGTTGGAACGTTGCTTTGGATCCATACTTCTCACTGTCAATCATTCACACTGTTATTCACAAAAATAAAGGAGAGAGTGGGATTAAGTTGCCACGGCAACATGTCCCCTGATCCACCCCTGCAGTTATTTCCTCAGCGCTGTGATGATGTTGGAGTTAAAGGGTTTTTCCATCCCTCAAACAAGCGCATGTCTGTGTTTGCTTTATTTGTCCTGATCTCAGAGAAACTGATACGTGTCACTGCGATTAAATCCCACTTCTTTTGCTGTGGTTATGTGCGCCTGTTAGGATTACAGCTATATTTAGGGCTATGTAAATCGACATCAGAGAAAAAGTCGTGCGGTGGCGGAGCTTCTGTACTTCATGCAGCTCTGGCGCTGTAGGTTCATTCCACCTCCTCCTCTGAGCTTCTCATCCAGCGAGAAAATGCCTCAAGACTTTAAAATAATATCAGTGTATTTGTAAGCTTTAACAGCATCTTACTTTCCTACACAGTCCCCACAATACTGATTTACCAATGAGTGGAGATTAGGGAAACCTCCCCCTCTCCTCTCTTGTTAAAATGCAGCCCACTACTCGGACTTAAAAGAAGACACTGAACTCGAGTGTTGTAATTAAACTAGATTTTAACAATTGTCAGTTCTATTGTACAATATTGAACAGGAGTCACAAAAGTGCACAAGAGGCATTGGTTCAAAAGGAAGGATCATACTTTGTGTTCCAGGTTCAGGTGACATTAGAGTTAAACAGAGAGAGAAGCAAAAATGTCCCTTCATAGATCAAAACAGTGATGAAAAAATATAACATCATACTATCACCCAGTAAATATGCCACTACAACATATGCCTTTGATTTCAAATGTCTCAAGATGGACTTTCCCAAGAGCAGCTGCGACACCGTCCTGCAAACAAAGCCTCGATTATAAAACCTCCTGACAGTTTGGTATACTTTATATATTATTGTACATCTATAGAGACATTAGGTTAAGGTTGATTTACTTGGTATGTTCTAGAAACACTCGTTGCAGAGAGGCACCAAAAATAAATAAATATGTAAAACAAAAAACCAAGATTGTGACAGGGTTTGTAGTGAAAAGGCCCATGCCATCTAAATGTTTTCAGTGAAGTACACTTTCACATTATTCACCCATCGAGCAGCACCAAGTCCCCTCACCCAAAAATAACCACCACCATAACAAAAACTAGTGTGTAGGAAGCACATCAACAGCCTTGGAGACGTCTTTTGTTCTACGTATGGACGACAATACTATTGCACACACAAAGTCCTCTGAACACTACACTACACTCATGGGAAAATGGGGCTCCTATTATTATAGTTTGGATGTGTCTGAAGGAAAGATCCTGAGACAAGAGAGCTGTCCTTCTTTATGCAAATATAATCAAAATGAGTGTTTACTGAAAACACCCACAAGAGAGTTGATGACTTCCTGCTGCAGTCCCTCCTCAGACTAGTTTTTGTGCAAAACACCTGTTTTGACCTTTGAGTTTATCACCACATTAACACCGTCGAGATGGGCTCGCCTGTCTGCCTTCCTCTCCTCTCATTTTATTACTGAAGATGTTTTTCATCAGGTTTTCTCACACAAAAAAAAGCAAGTTATTATTATGGTGATGGTCATCACTTGGCCAGTTCTCCTTGCCAGGTAGATTTTGACTCACCTGGAGGCACTTTGTGTCACGGCCGTTTGTCATGTATGTGCATATAATCTAATGAGTACAAACTGTCTTCTAACACACCTGAGATAGACAAGAGGCAACAGCGAGGACAGTCTGTAGAAAGATTTGATCTAATTCTCCAAGGGGGCCACAAGGATTAACACCAATTACTTGAGTGATGCTGAACAGCATTGTCTTTGTGTGTTATTCGTTTTAGCCCTTTTAAGTCCCCTCTTCTACTCTAAGCTCAGACTGCCTGTGAAGAAGTGCTGCAGCCTTCAGAAAAAAAGACAGATGGACAGAATCTAAGAACCCACCACCAGCTTTTTAAAGCCGTTTCCCCCCACAGAAACGGGTAAGTAAGCTCAAAGTGTGACTCTTGATTTAGTTTCTGAATGCCAGCACACAATACAGAGCCATTTGGTGGAGCACGCTGGCCTTCCCCCTGCCAGTCTCTCTCTCCCTCTCCCAAAAACATCTCTTTCTCACATGGTAGTGTTTATTAGAAGCCAAAGCTGATAGTGTCTGAGTGGACATCACCTTGGGGGAGTAGGTGCCACATAGTTTCTGCCCTGAAGACATACTGTAGTGAATCCTTCGTACCTGACCTCTGACCCTTTCAGCTCAGTGCCACTTTGCTCAGTTATCAACACCTAGCTTGGAGAGCCCCTGCCTGAACTCATGCAGCTCATCTATCTTTCCATCCAGCATATCCATGAACTTCTTCAGCTCGCCCTTCATGTGGACCTGCTTCTGCTGACTGTCATCTATGTCCAGCTGAAGACCTTCTATCCTCCCCTCCAGCTCCTTGTTCTTCGTCTCGGCAGTCTGTGGATGGACATTAGGAAAAACAAAACATTTGTTACAGCAGTCAGCAGCAGTAGAAGCAGGGAAATCAAAGGGGTACTTTGTCGATATTCAACAGGCATTGGTGTGGGTAGTATGTGTAAATGATCTATGTTAGCATTCCCATTATCTCACCAATGCCCAGATCTCCCTGCTCATCTCTCACTGAAAATCAGTTTTCGCCGGCTCTAGGGCTGCTGCTTGAACTTCAGATTGTTCTTCCACATTTTCATAAGCCTGCCACCACGGACCAAAGATTATAGAAGCATATGGAGAGAGACCCACCCCTCTCTTTCTAGCGCAGACCAAACTCAGGTCTGTAAAATTGGGCAGTGTTGATCAAATATAAACCAAGATTCCGTTACTGTGTTGCTTATTTCTTGCCTAAAATGTCTTCAGAAACATATTTTAGTGCACTGTTTTGCTATGATTCAAGAATTTGTGAACAGGAAGTACGCGCCACACATCCCTGCATTGTCATAACAGAGTCTGAAATACTGAGATCAAATGGTAAAGTGGCAGTGCTGGTAAAATATGAGCTAAGATTCTGTTACTGCATTGTCTGTTTCTCACCTAAAATGTATTCAGGAATATATTTCAGCTCACTGTTAAACTGCAATTCGAGATCATTTGTTACCAGCTGGCAGCCATATTGTCTCCTATGTCAAAACGGGTATGCTCGCATTACATCACCCACCAGTGTTTATTGGTCGTTGTAGGTTTTCTACCTCTTGAGCAGAAGCAATTCCACAGCCCTTTTTCCTCTGTTCTCTCTGGTCCTGTAGCACCAATTGCAAAAGTATTTTCACCGTTCTACTGCATGAACAGCCCAGCTTTAGGAAAAGTCCAGCTTTCCAGCTGTGAAATACTTCATAAAGAGGGATGTCAGGGCATTTGATGTAGCACTGAAGATATGTTCTTTTGTCTCTGTCTTAGCAGAGACATCAAACCAAAGACAGAGCTTCTTACAGCTACTGTCAAACATGAAATAAAAGCAGTTCAACTGGCCTTTCAGCATTTCACTCCTTTGCACTGAGTTCTGGGGAACATTTGCCAAAATGCTCTAAGAGGAAAATTCCCTGTGTACATCCCCAGGAGTTAAAACCAAGCTTTACATTTAGGAAAGGTACATTGTTGTGTGAGGATGGGAGGGTACAGCGAGTGTTTCAGACTAGCAGGCGACACGAGTGACACATTAATGCTGAAGATACCATTGAAGGGAGGGGTTTAAAATAGGAGTGCTAAATGGGTGTTGCGCCTGCATGACGGTATCCTTCAGCTGACTCCTGAAACCCGATCACCACGTGGGGTGTCGTCTTTAAATAGCGAGGAGCCAAGACCAAAAACACAGAGGTGGGGTTGGTGGATTCATTTTTTAAAAAGAAGCAACAGAAAAAAAAAACAGTTTTACTTCACTGCTTAACGTTATCTGAATGGACTGTGGCTGAGTTTTCATGTTGGGCCTCGTGGTTAGACGAAGGTATTTGAGAAATCCCTTTGTCTATGTTTCTCCTGAGTTTGGGTATCTGGTTAGATAAACTCCCGTTGTCACTGTCATTCATCCAGCTGGCTGTTGCAGAAACAAACCAGGCGGTCCAGCTTTGTGAAGCACAAGAACTTCAGGCATGCCACTGTTGGTTTTATTCTCCTCCCTGCCCCGGCTTGAGAGGCAGCACATGCATGACAGCTTGGATGATAAAATTCTGCTCTGAGTCAGTCAGAACAGGGCAACATGAGCGTCACTATCAATGCAGCTCATGTCAGACTTGGCGCAATCAGAGTGAACAGTCCGTCACCAAGCCTGGCACTTCTGGTTTTACAGAGAGTCTGATATTACTCAATGAGAAATCAGACTTGAGGAACAGGTGTTCTTTGTTACAAGATGACTGAGGTGATGGGCGTGAATCTGTCGGGTTTTTGGCAACAGTAGATTCTCACACCCAACAACCCACACACACTCCCACAGAAATGTTATCAGACTTGGTCATTAAAGCTCCCAAACAACTTCAGCTGTTTTTGTAGTCAGCGACACAGATCATATCTGCGCCACTTGGAAACTAATAAGCCGTGACAGAGATGTAGTCTCTCTGTTTCACAGATGAGGAAGAGGAGGCCTTTTCAAAGAGGCAATAATCCACTCAGCGTTGTACCCAGGATGGACCTTTATTAATAGATACAGTAACCACAATGTGCGTTAGTGAGACACGTGACGGGAATGTTGTGTCACCAGCCCTCAGGCAGAATGGTGAATAGGATCTCTCATTCTCTGCCTCTGTCTGAGAGTGCTGCTTACGCCTCAGAGCCTGCGCGTTACCTCGCTTTGACAGACATCGTTTCCTCACGTGTGCCTGCGCCGTAAGCTTGAGCTTTTATACTCTGCTGTAAATCACACCTGAGAGAAATGTGGGGGTTTGTGGGATTCCTGGGTCCTTTGAACGTACCTGCAGTTTTGCAGTGATGCTCTCGCACTCCGCCATGAGCTGAGGGATTATCTCTGCCTGCTTCCTCAGGTTCTCCAGCTCCTGGGAAAATAAATAGAGACCAGTTCACTGAAAGCAATCAAAACATATCAGGTTGATTCTGTCTACATTGTCCAGTGTAGGAATCAGGGAGATACATTGGCAGAAATGAAATACGATACGATACGATAAATAAGTTTTCTTTAGTGTATAATCACCTAAAAAATAAGAACTGCTGTGTTTTTGTTACCTTAAATGGGACATTCATCTATGGAGATCACCATGTTTCTACTTACCCAGAACACACAAGCAAAACACTGAGTCTAGATAGGGCCATTCACGTTTTCGCATCTGCTACTTTAGCTAGCAGCCCATCCACAATGATTGCGTCAGGAAAACACTTATTTTTGTTTGTTTTGGAGAGGAGGAGACCTCTGTGGATAATTCAGCTCCCAGTAAAAAGGTCCCGAATAATGAACACTGAAGGAATTCTAACCAGGAGAAGTTTCAGCTGGTTGCAATCTACAATCCTCACCACTAGATGCCACTGGATACACTGTTCCTTTAAGAATGGTGCAGCTCATTTGGGGAGAAAAAATGAACTCATGCGTGGAGTAGGAACAAGTGCATTTGCATAAAGTTAAAAAGCCTTTTTCAAAAAACATGGCTGCTAACATTAAAACACTGACTGCTTTCGACTTTAAGGTCTTTACCAGGGTGCAAAAGGGTGGACAGGAGTCAAGCATTTTAAAGATATTTTTTGGGGCTTTTTAGCCTTTAATGTATAGGACAGACAAGCGTGAAGGGGGGGGAGAGAGAGAGGGAGTGACATGCAGCAAAGGGCCACAGGCTGGAGTCGAACCCGGGCCGCTGCGGCAACAGCCTTGTACATGGGGCGCCTGCTCTGCCACTAAGCCACCAGCGCCCCTGGAGTCAAGCATTTTATAAGCTTGGTAGGGGGTGTCACCCAATCCTGATTAATAAATGAATGCAGGTGGGTGACAACAACGAATTACAATTAGAAGCCATTTTGAAGTTGACACGCCTCCGCAGGTGTTTACCACTATCTCGTTCTCCTAAGTACAGCTCATTTAACAGAAGAAGCCAAACTTTTCAGATGTTAAAGACATGGTCCAACATATGGGGCACTATTCTTACTCACTTTCTTGCCGAGAGTTCGATGAGAAGATTGAAACCAGTTTCATGTCTGTCTGTCTGTTGTGTTGCCAGTCTTCATGCTAAGCTAAGCTAAGCTAACTGTCTCCTGCCTTCAGCTTGTTGTGAAGTAGCTCAACAAGAATTTTGAACAAAATACAAAGTTTACTCTATTATTTAAAGTAGAGTACAAATAATGCACTTGACTCCAACTTTTCCGTACTCAGTGCTGGAGACACATTTCAGACTGTACCAAACAAATATGGCAGCAGCACAAAGCAGCTAAGGAACAATGAAGAGCAAGGTGAAAGTGTTGCGTGAGAAAAACAGACGAATACTGAAGCCTTGATTCTGTTTTTCTGCCCTGTGCTTACATGTTTTTTTTTTTCTTCTCAATTCAATATCTATCATCACTCTCAAGTTTTATCTCTCTGCTGCTTTAAGCCACACAAACACATACAGTCTCACAGCATCTATAGCATCGCTCCCAGCACTTCCTGGCCAAGTAATAATTGGCTGAGTCTTTGTAGTCACCTGCTGCAGCTTTGTTCTGTTAGATCCCGTCTGGCCAGCACTGGGGTCAACACCATAGTGAATGCTTAATAATTCATGGGCATGTTTTTAATTGGAGGAGTTGAGCGTATGCATTTCGAGACGGGGTGAGTCATTCAGCAGATGAGCCTCTGTGGGCCGTCTGTGTCAGTGCTCTGCAAACAATGAGACTTCCTCCCGCGGGCTCCTCGGTCACTGTGAGGAGCATCGTGGCTGATATGCAGGACTGTGGAAAAGCTGTAGCCCCCGAGAGAGTGAGATTCTTTGCTTATAATCTTATAAAATCATCTCCGGCTCTTTGAACTGCTTCCTTCCTGTTGTTGTGTAAGATATACCGCTCTCCAAGGAAAGACTTATAGGTTCTATTAATACTCAGGCTGCCAGGTGCTAAACTAGAATATTCCAGACACGCTGTTTACCTCGGGGAATTTAAAAGGGTCTTTACACAGCAGAGCCACATGAGGTCTTTGTTTTGAAACACTGTTTAACTCAAACTTAATGACTAGTTCATCAACTGATTAGACAATCAACAGAAAATGAATTGACAACATATTTGAGGATGAATTACTCATTTAAGTCATTTATTTAGCCAAAGAAACATTTGCTCCTTCCTGGTTTTTAAAATGTGTTGATGTGCTGCTTATCTCTGTTTTAATGTGACTTTTAATGTCTGACTTATTGATCAGACTTGAGAAGCAACATGAAGACTAGATTTCAATGATATGTAGATTGACAGGAAATTTTCTGCATCTGTCATCGATAATCAATTACCCTTAAAAGTCATTTTTCAAGCATTAATGCCACATATTCTTTCCTTTTCTTTATCACATCTCATCTGTAGCAGCTGGAGTGTTGGTCAGACAGAATCAGATGACATCAGCTTTAGCTAGAGGATTATGTGATCTGCAATTTTTTACTTTTTATATTTTTTATGCATAACAATTAATCAAGACATTATTCTGCAGACGATCTGAAAATGAAAAAGATTGTAAGATGAAGCCCTGATAAAGATGTCACCTTGGACATTTTGTAACTGACTTTCTTTTTCCCCGTTTTCTAATTTGATTGATTCAACCATCATACAAATTTCATAGAGTGTAAAGCTAGATTTGCTGCAGTGTTCAGGTTTATAACCTGCTAAAAAACTGTCAAGAAGTTCCTAATGGAGCTGTCAATCATGTCAATCACCGCTTACAAACTGTGGTCAAACTGTCAAACTAAGCAGTGCTGGTCAAATATAAGTCAAGATTCTGTACTGCATTGCCTATTTCTTGTGGGTCACAAACCCTCTCATTATACAGCTGGTCGTGGTCCAAAAGTGGGTCGTGGGTCCATTCTGGATGGACCTCAGGTGACTCGCAAAAATGTCAAGTTTGTGAAAAACACGCTTTATTTTTAAGTACAGCAAATTTCCTACACAGAGCTTTTATTTTGAAGTGCCGTGTCTTGCTGTAGAGTGAGTGACTAACAGACAGCTACTTAACAGAGACAGCAGATTAACTCGACTGCATGGCCAAACACAAGTATGATCCTGATTATATTAAACTGTGTGGACCTTGAACTAATGACTAATGAGAAACCTGGACCCTGTGGATGGACCAGTTGGGAACCACTACACTAAAATATGTTTCTGAAAACATAAGAAGTAAGAAACAGGCAATGCAGTAACAGAATTTTGATTCATATTTGATCAGCGCTCAAATCTGTGTTGCAGACTCTGATCGATTGTGTTTGTTTCCTTGTTTGTGAAATGCCATAAGTGCACTAAGAAAAGGCAGAGGAATGATTTTTTTTTACAGATTGTCTATGTCATATACTACTATGTAGATAAAGGGATAGTTTCAGTAAATATAATAAAGTTATTTCTCATAAAAGTAACCAACTACAACCGTAAGGACCACTATGAACAGAAAATACTGACATACTGTCTTCTGCTGTTGAAGCAGAAATACATACTGACTTATGAACTCTTTAACTCTTTGTTTTGTTTATCTTTCCCTCTGCTTCACACGTGGCTAACTGTGTCTCCCTTTGATGATGACGGTGATGGGGAGACACAGTCACTTCAGGAAAAAGGTGATTGCCAAAATTCAGCCTTCATCATTTATCTGCAGACAGAAAAGGCATTTAACCAGTGACGAGCAAAGGTCAAAAGACTGTGTGGCCGCGCAGAGCTCATCCTCATTAGAAATAACAGCATCATTAGGCTCTGCTGAGCTGACAGTCAGCTAGTTTGGATTATAGATGACTGATGCAGTAGACATAAGGCGATGCGGCTAATGGCATTTGTGCCAAAATTCCCTGCTGCTCTGACTACAGACAAAGTCAGTGGCTGAATTTACATTCCCCCAGCCTGATTATTTTCACAGTGGAGTTCAATTGAACCAAAACAAGACAAATATAAAGTAAATTGCTGTTAAAACACAGCCAACATGGAAAATAAGAAAAAAGGAAATTGGGAGAAAAATTGGGCAGCAGAAAGGTCTAGGCTTCGGTGGGCAGGTGAAGATAACAAGACCGATCTATACAAAAACCCAAGATGACACAACAAAACCTATCATTTCCTGCTGAGGTATAATCACCTCCTGAGGGAGAGGAGTGGTACTGGGTAAGAGCAAGAGGCGAAGAGCTGGTGTACAGTGAAAAGACGCACCGAAATGTTGGAAGAGGAAGAGAAAGTAGAAATGGAACTTCAGGAGATGAAGGGGTGTTAAAATAAAAACTGATTTTTTTTGATGAAGAAAGGATGAAGGGGGCTGAATAAATCATAAACTTTCAAGGTAAAGCACCGCCTCCGTTATAACAGAAATTATTGTTTTACAAACTCTTCCAGACAACCCTGCTCTCAGCAGTGCCCCTCTGTTGATTGAAGACAAATGTGCTGCAGAGGTCTCACCTGCTCTTTGTCCTGCAGCTCAGTCTCCAGCTCCTGCACTCGTACAGACAGCTGGGCGTTTTTCTGTTTCTCCTGATTGGCTTCGTTGCACTGAGCTTCTAGTTCTGCAATCTGCACACAAAATGAAAAAGATGTTTATGAAAAAGTAAATCAATGAGGAAGGTGTTTTTAGAACATATTCCCATTTCCCTTACCCATCATATTTGTGTTTGTGGAATCCTAAATAATTATGCTGTGTTATATTACTGATGTCAATCAATTAGAGAAAAAACTTGCAGCATGTTACAAAATAAAGAGCATCATTGCAACAGCAGCCCAGCTGCAGTAACAGCCCACATTGATTATGAAACTAAAATAATTCTATTTATAGTGAGACTCTGGTGCAGGAGCACAAAAGCTACCAAAATGTGCAGCACTTCACTCGCTCAGAGTGGAGAAACTTGGTGAGGAATTCACTCTTCCCACTAAACACATTTTAAGTAATAGATTAATCAAACTACAACAGAGTATATTCTCATTTTGTGAGTTTGCAGTGCAGTTTTGTTCCTTTTATAAAAGAGGCAACGGTGTTTCTAACCCGTCACCTTTTCTGCCAGCAGGATTGATGGGTGTGTGTACATTATTTAACTTCCCTGACTGCATTACCTTTTCCCTGAGCGTGTCACTCTCTTCCTTGCAGGCACTAAGTTGTTTCTTCCAGCTCTCTACATTAGCGGAGGACTCCTGCAGTGCGTCCACCAGCCTGGCATTATTTTCTCTTAAAGTCTGCAGCTCGGTTTCCCACTTCTTGGCATTGGTGTTGCTGTCAGACAGGAAAGAGAGGGAGACAGAGACCCAGAGAGTTATTGATGGAGGAAAATTTTTGACAGGTTAGTGCTGAAGAGCCTGAGGCTTGTGCCCACTGACATGACACATAATGCTACAAAATTCTCCCAGTCATGACTATTTAATTAGCTGCGATGTACATCACACTGTCAGAAGATATTTAGATGATTAAAAAAAAAAAGAGGAGAAGTGGGAAAAGTCTCTGATGTCTAATGAGCTGCAGCCCTGATACAGTCCAACATACAGTTTGTTATCTTTTCAAACCACAGCGTGTGTTTCTGTCTTATCAATAAGATCAGGGAGGTTGTGATGTATATTTAGTATGCATCACTGTTCCCTTCCTTATGCATGGCTGGTTTGAAGTGTGCTGCTCTCCATCAAATGCGGACAGACTTGCATCGCAGCATTCTGCAGTCCTCGGCTGTTTCACTGCTGTGACACATTTCAACAGAACAAAATCCCAAAGCCTCGTGAAGGCATGAAAAAGGGCAGACAAAGACAGGGAGCAGTGGAGGACCAAACTGGGTTTAACAACCACAACCTGGAGACATTTAATGGTTCGTGTAAGGGTCAAAACAAATGTTTCTCCTCTGACAAAACATGTTTTGTTTAGAGTCAGTGTTTAAATCACACAGCAATTTTACAGATCTGTAATTTCCTATTCATCTCTCTGGATGTTTCCCAGGAGGAACTTTCTAATTTAGTACTAATCATGAGAAAGAGTTGGTTGAGTTCAGTTAGTTGGTCAGAGGAATCTTATTTAATTGAACTGGCCAAACTAAACCAACATAAACATTCTTTAGTGAAAATCTTTTAAAATGATAACGTTTGAGAGGGGAGGAGTACTTAGATTTCCACAGCTGACTTTTTGTCAATAATGTGGCTTCCTCTGAGTTTACAGAGAAAAGCTTTACATCTTATTAATATCTTCTGGGGTAACTGGATGTGCAGTCAAGCTCGGGTCCTCTACCAGAGGCCTGGGAGTTTGAGGGTTCTGCACAGTACCTTAGCTGTTTTAGGACTGGGCTCTTCTGGACAGAGACCTCAGATGTTGTGCCTGGAATCTGCTGGAGCCACTCTCCCAGTTTGGGGGTCACAGCTCCCAGTGCTCAGATTACCACTGGCACCACTGTTGCCTTTACTCCTCACATCTTTTCTAGCCCCTCTTTTACCCCTTGGTATTTTTCGAGCTTCTTGAAAAAGCTTCTTTTCACCAGTTTGTCAGTCTGGATCTGGAAGTCCCGCAAGATCTTAGCTTGGTCATTCTCAACCACCCTAGGAGGTGTCTTCCATTCTGACCTTGGGACCTCCAGCTCATACTCAGTGCAGATGTTTAAGTACATTGCGACAGCCACTTGGTTATGGCAGACCCTTACTTCTATTGATCTAAATCAGAAATGGCTGCGCCCCTGAAAAGGTCCAGTGAATTGCCCCTCCCCAAATCTGCGTTACTCATATCAACACATGCCTGTGCTCTCTCTCTTTCTCTCCTACTTTAGATTGGTGAATTTCTTGTGTCCGCCCGCTTGCAGTTGCATACAAAAAAAAAAAAGACTTGTACCACTTTCAAAGGGGAGGGGGGTTTCATTGTGACAATATTATGACTATATCTTACTAAAATTATGCAATGTTATATTTTGGTTCAGAATAAACTGAACATGACTGCTGGCCTCCATGGGCCCCCCTAACAGCTGAGCAGATGTTGTGCACTGACTAAACGACTTGTTCTGTCCAGGAACTTTGTTGCGAAACTACGACTACATATGAGTTCTTTTCTAGGAATGGAAAATAAAGTGTTATCTACACAACTCTAATTTTCTTATGTGTATGAAGCGTGTATTCCCAGGAAAGTTCCGCTAATTGGTCTTTTTTTTTTAACCTCAGGGCCTTTGATCCCATCTGGATCGACTGTGTGAGTGATTTTTTTTGTTGCTACCCAGTACTAATTCTGGCTAAATTTGCTCACTGTAGTTTTGGTTAACTCGGATGCCCTTGGGTCATTTTAATCCCATCTGGAACCACATCTGGTGTTTCATGCAATTACTGATTTATACACAAGGCATCTGGATTATAAAGGCCATATAATCAAATGGCAGGGCAGAGCAGCGTCACTCTTTAGATTAGATCTGATGATTTCTGAGCCCTTTGGGGACGTGATATCATCCCAGCAGCAATAAAGTGAAGAGAGGGAACATTTGAGCACACTTTGGTGGAGAGAAAATTAAAAGACAAGAAAAAAATGGTGTGAAAGAGATCAGGAGCTGCTGTGAGTTAAAATAATATGATGCACCTTGGAGTGAGTTTAGCTGTATTGTCAGATTATGTGCTGCGTGATTTTGGGAGAACACATTCAGAGCAAATTAGATGCACATCACAGTAAAGAGGTTTATCTGAGGTTTTCATGAAGGAAAACCTTACCTTTGTTCGACTGCACTCTTGAGACGTTCATTCTCGGTCTTCAGCACAGCAGCCTCCGGACCAACATGAGAGATCTTCTCATCGTCCGTCCCATTAATGCTGGACGCCTGGTTGGTTGAGGGCGTCTCACGTCCAGACTCCTTGTAGGGGACAGAGGGAGATGTGTTATGGTGCAGGGCAGGTTTTGATTCAGTCTACCTGCAGTGTTCTAAAGGTCTGATGGGTTAAAATCTATAAATGTGTCTCATAAATCTTGCTTTGACTGTGATAAAGGGCTCTGGGCTTCTTTCGATGAAACACTGTAAACACCCCGGACACGTCAGCTATGACAGCGGAGGGGTGAGGGAAAAACTGATGCCAGTATTTATCATGTCATATGGCCCAGCAGCTTTGTGTGTCTCAGAGCCGAGTCTGGATTCTGCCATCTGGAGTCAGTGCAGGCAGAGAGCAGGCCAAGCTGCTGGATCCACCTCCAATCAATGCTGTTTACTGTTTACGCTGTTTACTTACTAAATGAATTATCAATCCGAGGTCGTTTGTGTGATCTGATAAACTTTTGTTTTATTACTCCCACTGGCTTCCTTGTCCTCTTAATTACTGTTGTGGCTTCCAGGTAGGATGACCTTTGACCTTTTTTTTTATGATGATTCACACTGTCACATTAATTATTTCTGTTGTGTTGACATGTAATATTAAATAAGCCTCAAAGGCCTGAGTTCATATAAATATTTGAACTTATCTATTTGAATACTTGATTATGCCCAAAGCTATTTCTAAACACAGAATCTGTACACATTAGTGTTTGTTTACAGGACGACTCCATTAATTTTGTTTTTTGTTGTTTGGTTTACATCATTCTGTAGCTTCCCAGTAGTGTTCCCTATGTATTCAAATCCGAAAAAATTCAAATTTTGGCCTAAGTATGTATTTTTTAGCCCTAAAATGCTATTTATCCAAGCCTCTCTAAAACCTTTTTCCCACCTAACCCAATGTAGATTTCTGCACAATGTTGTTGCTACATATAAACCCACATACTGCTGTGGACACATTAGTTCAGTTTTGAAAGTCACAAAATAGCAAACCAAGTTAACGATCGAGTCAGTGGTAGACCAGCAAACCCCTGTGTGCTGTGAAGTAAAATTAATGTTTGTGTCAATGGAGTCTGGTGGGTGAAGACAGCATCGATAACAGCTTCAGTTCCCTGTCAGAGAGGGCTGTCTCACAGCGAGCTAAAGTGGTAAAAGAATCTTCATATAGCGTACTCTTACACTGATGTGGATTTTTCTTTTTTGGTGGTCCTATTTTTGGAAGACCAAAATATATTTTGCTGCTGTTCCAGTCTACAGCCACCAGACTCCTTTGACAGAAACAGTATTTTTACCTCCCAGAACACCAGGAGCTACCGGTCTACCACTGCCGCTGATTAGTTTGTGTCAATGTGTGACTTTTGGAACCAAACTAACATGGCGTCCACAGCTGTAGGCTACATTGTTTAGCTCCTGTGCCTCGGTACAGCCATCTTACCGTGGGTAATACACTGCCTATGGATCCATTAATGTGTTCATACAGTACAAATGCAGTATTATATTGAATCTTAACGTGTCTTCACCTGGTTAAATAAACGTTTAATAGCACCATGATCCACCTCCAAGCTCAGATCTTCCAAGCTAATACTTTTCTCACTCTCAATGATTACAATCAGTGAACAACTTGTGTGGGGGGTGAGGAATCAGCACTGTAACCTACGTCACTACTTTCTGATAGCGGTTAAGTGGAAGTTTCCATTTGAAAAATACAGAAAAGAACACAAAAACAACAACAGTCCTGATTTCTTTGATGATGTGGCATTAAAACTTGGGACCACTGAGGACTATTGTTTGGTAAAATCTAGCCTTAGAGCCAACAATGGACAGATCCACACCAAGATCCTTAAAGGGTTACTTCAGTCCTGGATCAGGGCATTAGGAACTTGAGGTTATGCCATTTGTGGCATCTGTTTATTCCAAATGTAACGTACTATGTGACGTACAAATGCACTTTTCCTTCTTCTCAAACACCCATAGTTCCTACTCTAGAATCCACGTGTTTGCCAAAGTATGATCTCCAGGGTTAATAAAGGCTCCTGTTTATCAACCATTCTATCTGACTAGAATCGACTTAAGACTTGAGAGACAGATATCACACAACCATCACAGCTAGGGATTTAAAACATATTTTCTTAAGGAATTCATTTTATTTATGAAGGCCATATAATTCATTCAAACTAAAACAATTTTTTCTTGCCACACCAACATAGGGAGGCCTTAAAAGCAAATTTGAAGGGGCAAGTCCTTTCATACAGCACACATAAGAGAAAAATGAACTAGAATTACCGCTTTGCAGTCAAGTTGCACTTATAGTTGGAATTTTATTTCTTCTATGTTCAATTCTGAAAGAGGGTGACATTTCTACCATACCAGGGCTGTGGGGGGTGGTATGGGTTCTCTGTATATATCTGTTTATTTTTCTTGTGTATTTGTTTGTTTCAATAAAAACATCTTTAAAAACAAAAGGAGAGTAAGCTAAACTGAAATGTTTTCATCGCTAGTTTTTCTCTGTGGAGGCCAACAGTGACTGTAAAGGGGACAATAGCAAAGCAGAGGTGTTACTGAATCAGAATTTCAGACAGCAGAGAGATATAATTTACCTCAGAGTGATTGCTCAACGTCTCCACCTTGTCTTGAGACTTGTCCCTTGCCAGCTTGGCTGCCTCTTTTACTTCCTGGAACTTCTCAGCAAACTGAAAATATGAGAGAGACGTGTGAGAGCTGTGATGATTAGTGGTAATACAAGCGCTGAAATGTCACACACGGTGTGGCTCGCCTTAAAACGTTTTGGGAGATCATGGAGCCAAATTATCTGGTGATAGTAAAGATTTAAGAATCAGACACAGGCCTGTCTTTAAATCCTTTTCTGATTGCTTCATTTTTTCCAGTTAATGTTCAGTTAATGACGAACTGTGCACCATCACACTCCAGTTTTAGTGAGAAATACATAAATCGTCTCTAAGCTTGATGCTTTTGTGATTCATGTGATGCTGCAGAAATGTTTTCGCTCACCTTGGCCAGCTGCTGCTCCGAAGCGAAGCCCAGTCCAAATACAGTGTTGGCCCTGCTGTCCGCCCACTGGCCAAACTTTTGTGATGTCTTAGTGAACGTCATGTTGGGTGTGATGGTACTGTTGATGATCACCTGTTAGGACAAAACAACTTTAATTAATTTCCAAGTCCTGTTAAGAGATCATACTGGTAATCAGTACAGATGTGCAGGCTTTCAACACCATTTTTTTTTCACATATTCCAGGTAGCACGAGGTGAGTAACTGATGTATAAATTATTTTGCGGGTCAGGATTCCTTTAATGAAGGAGCTCCAGCAGCTGCATTCACATAATGAATGATTAAACAAAGGCCAGTCCCCTATTGTAGCTCCATTGATACAGAGCAAATCTGTAATACCCTTTCTTGGGATGATCCACTTCATCAAAACAGTTTGATTCATATGCATGTTTGAGAGCCTGTCTGCAATACAAAGCTATACTGTTTACAAAGCAATCTTTGGAAGTACTCAAAGACTAATTATCTATTCTCTCTATAGAGGGGAAAACAATTTATACATAAAAAGGACAGAAATTAGAAATAAATTCTTGATCCAGGATGAAAAATGGTGGGAGTCTTAGTGTCTCACAACGTCCTGTAAATCAAAGAATCCATCTTCAATCAGAAAAAAATGACACACACTCAAAGAAGCTGAACCAGAGCTTATTCATTTTATGTTTCACTACAGAGTTAACTATACTTGCCACCAGGTTTCACGTGAAACAAGAACAGCGTTAGACTTGTAACATTTGTTCCTCGGTTCCTCTGTTCAGAACTATTGGGAGTGAGTATCCAAAGTTCTCTGAATTGACAGGTAAGACCACATGAGCACTACTTAAAGGGATACTCTGCTGATTTTCAACCAGCTTTGTATTGTAACAATATGGGCAGCATGTGTAAATGAACTGTGGTAAACTTCTCTCCATCTCACCAGCGCCCAGATCTCCTTGCTCATCTTCCAGCTCAAATCTGCCAGATGAGACGTTTTGCACCATCCGACAGATTTTCGCTGGCTGTAGGCAGGATTGCTCGGGGCTGATGTTCTCACTACAGATTGTACATTCCTGCCAACACGGACAAAAAGAGTATAGAAGTGAATCGAGGGAGAGAAAGCCACCCTACACTCTCTCAAACTCAGATCAAACAGTAAAACTAATTAGTGCTGATCAAATATGAACCAAGACTCTCTGTGCTGCCTTTTTCTCGCCAAAATGTTTTCAGAAACGCATTTTAGCTTGCCGTTAAACTTTAATTCAAGATTGTTTGTTACCAGTTGGGCGTGTATTGTTTCCTGTGTGAAAAAGGACAAGCTCGCATTATGTCACCCACCAGCAGGAGTGTTTATTGGCCTAATGCGGCACAGTGAATTCTGGAAGTTGTAGGTTTTCTGCCTCTTAAACAAAAGCAAATGCCACATGCAGCCCTTTTTCTCTGCTTTCTCTGGACATGTAGCACCAATTTCCAAACTATTTTCATCTTTTTACTGCACAGACAGCCTAATTTTATGAGAAGACTTATCTTTCTAGCAGTGAAATACTTTTTAAATGACGACTCAGTCAAATGAAAGAAGAATTGTTAATGGCGGTTTTACAGCCGCCAAAAACTTTGAGTCCAGAGACGGCTGCCACCTCACAATCTGAGCACCAGAGAATGGCTCACATTTTTTCATGACATTGTAGCCTATAACTTGAGCTGTCAAATGCCTAAAACCCTTCACTTTAGAGATGTGGGCAAACGCAGCAGCGCAAAAAAAGTCTCAAAGTCTCCCCACTCAATTTAATGTGGTCCGTCATAGACTCCAGAGGTGGGAGGATGTGGGTGGGGGAAGGTATATATCCTATGTATCATTTTGTTTTACAATTTGAGCTAAATATTTGCTCACAAACTTAATAAATAAAAATACTGACACACACAGACAGACAAACACCATATAGTGGCGACTGCTGACCCACTAACCCCTAAGTAGTCAAATTACAGCCTCCATATTTGCTACAGTACATGCTCACCTGTTGTTGCAGCTATGCAGTAAATCAGCTGCTCCAAAACATCTGCTGCAGTCTAAAATTGTAACCAGTGCACACGGCAGTGACAGCAGAAACCAACAGACTCTTAAAACACTACTTCAGCAAGACCACACTGCAGCGATGTGTGTTCGCTGCATCACCGTAGATATAGACATGTCTAATCATATATGAACAGCTGGATGTGTACATAAACACAATCAGCTTTAATTTACTACTGCACATGTACACAAGCCAAATCTCACCGCCAAGATATAAGAGAACTTAAAAACAGCACATGCAAATTACCCCCAACAATTAAGAAGAATAGAAGACAGTTTAATCACGGTGCAGCCCTTGTTTCATAGCAACATGGCTCTGATCACAGGACTAGAGAATTCAAATTGCTGACAGACTCGTGTCCTTTCCTACGCCCCCACCGTCTCCCTCTCCATTTTTTTCAGTGGCTGAGGTGTTAAAACACTTTACACTGCATCATTACTGGACACAGATACCTAAAAAAAGCAGAGACTGAGCTAACAGAATGAGGACATTAGCACGCAATCAATACCCTCTTAGACGTTTCTGACCCATGCAGAACAATGCTAATGGATCCTGGAGAGAGGTGACTGCACATACACAGAAACAGACCTCTATCAGTGTCATGCTGCAAAGATTACAGTCGCAACCTCTAATTCAGGCTGCATTCCCACATCAAGGGTTTATAAAGAGAGTGGCAATTTACCAAGGTGCCACTAATCTAATTTTAAAATCATAACGCTTTCAGAGGCTTTATCAAAACAGTTACCTCATTTCCCCCCCGAAGAGGAACCTGAGCAAAGCCAGAAAAACACCGACACTTCTCATCTCAAGCAGCTGAGTGAATATTTAACAGAGCTCACCGTGTCAGCTCAAAGAGAAGTGTTAAGATAAGATGAAACTTTAATGATCATTGTGAAGAAACTGGGCCGTTGCTGCAGGATGGGGCAAAAATAAATAAATAAATAAAAGGAAAAAATGAGGTAACCAGACTGTAAACACACGTTTACGCATAAAATGTCAAGAAGAAATATATAAATCAAAATACAATGTTTCCTTTTGAAAAAGTAGTACTCAGATTTATTAAAGTTAAAATATTTTGTCAATCGGCCAATTAGAGTTTAAATTTCTTCTCAGTTTTATTTCCTCTGTTTGCTGGAAACCCTGTCAGAGCTTTCTCTACACATCATGTTCAGAGCTTCTGCCTGAAGTTTCACCTCTTCACATTGAGAGCTGACATTTCACATTTCACTTAACATTGAGCTGAGGTCGTTAACCAGTGCCTTGTTGGGAAGATATGACTGAACTACCCAATTATACAACAGAAAATGAATGCATCCAGCTTTTGATTTTGATTTAAGAACATTAAATGAGCAAAATTGGCACATAAGACTATCAACCTGTCTTTTTTTAATAACCTATAGGTGGAAAGGTAGAAAGTGAAAGGTACAGTGAGTCACTGAACCTGCCACCTCTGTGTGTTACAGGGTAATGAGCAAGATTAACTATACACCTCTGACACCACACACACACACATGCACACACACACGCACTACAGACCTAAAGCTTGCATCAATGTCCTGCTCTACATGCGTGAAATTTACTCAAAAACCACCACTAGAGCTGAACCACAATCCAAATATTATGATGACTGACTTAACTATTTCAATGTAACTGTAATAAGCTACCGAACTAAATTGTAAATGAAGTTTGTGTTTTACACATAAGAGTTTTGATTGATGTAGAGCTGAAAGAAATGCAATTCAATTCAATTAATCGACTACTTGACTGATAGAAATCTAGAACTTTATCAAGGTTACTTTGTCAAGCAAAAATACCAAACATCCCCTGGTTCTGCTTCTTTATTATTAGAATATGCTGTATTTCTTTGTATTTTAGGATTGTAAACTGAGTATATTTGGATTTTGGACTGCTGGTTGGACAAAATAAGCCATTCAATGACTCAAGATGGCCTTTAGGAAACCTAATAAGTCAATTAATTAAATTATTTTATGTGATATGGCCATACTATGATAAATGTGAGATGTTTTGTGAGAGAAAAACATTGTGACCATGAACTCACCCATGTCGCACAAGCCTTACACATAACAAGGCTTTACAGAGAAATATGAATATCAAACAGAAAAAGGCATTTACAGATATTGTTGTCATGATACCAGAATATTAAACTTAGATATAATGCTAGTGTAACAAAAAAACATACCCAATGTCTCTTTCAAAACACAGCTAAATGAAAAAAAAGTCCTCAACACACAAAATAGTATTTTTTTTTCTCTTTTTTTAAATTACAACCTGCACACAGTGCCAGTACAGAAAAAGTCACTGAGCACACTACTCCAGTCACATGTTGAGAGAGACAATCCACAGTAAATGTTTGAGTATGTACAAAGGAGGAAATGTACATATGCAAAAAACCTATTAAGATTATAAAACCTTGCATACGCCTGCCAGTGCGCAATTTACTTAAATAAATCCCAAATTGTATTGTCAAAAATATCAATTTATCAATACATATTAAAAATTTGAAACTGTTTCAATACTTATCTAACGCAGTATTCATACTACTGATACTACTTTCTCGTTCTCTCCCTTCTCCATCAGCAAGTTGACACACACACCACTGCAGTGCCCCCCCGTCTTCTCCCACTCACTCACACTGCTGTCTTGTCATCACTTGTCTCATTCACTCCGGTTGCACAGAGGCTTCTGTGGCACGGTTTTGTTTTTTCACTTGCACTTAATTGCATTTCGAATGTGTGACAATTTTAAAGGCTTATGAACATTTGAACTACCACAAGAAAAAAAATGTTTCCACTGATGTAAAAAAAAAAAAGTTTTATTCTTAATGTTTAGTACAGTCATTCTGCTTTTTTCTGCTACTAACCAAGAAAAGAGAAGTCGTCACTGTCATGTTACAGCCTTGTTAGATTTTTCTATTAATTAAAAAATTAAGTTGTATACCCCTTAATGTCAAATTTTCCCCGTGGTGTCAAAAAAGGTATTGTATCGAAGCTAGACATTCAGGTATTGTGACAA